GCTCTGCACTTCCTTGGGAGCCATCCTAAAAAGCACACCAAAAAGCTTCACAGCCAGTGTCTGTCTGTGACTGCGATCTCGCCTACAGGAAGCCACAACCACGTGTCAGAGCAGGGAAGATGGCCGCAGGTCGTGTTCGACACCCAATGCGGAGTTCGCAAACAGAAGCAAAATTTTGCAAACGCTGCTGTTCGCAAACCGAATTGTTTGTGAATAGAATCGTTCGTGAACTGAGGTATTACTGAGCAACAATATGCTTTGGGGAAAAAGTAAAACATTTAAGCTAGCCTTTTCCAGACTGCTATCCCCAAGATATGTAGGCATTCACAGCTTCAGGCATTTCTAGCTGAAAGCCACATATGCAAAGTATTGCAGTTTTTGCATTTTTTAACCATGTTAAAATGAATTCTAGAATGAAATTGCAGTCTTGCAGAAAATGACTGAGTTCTACATGCACACATCAATTGCTGGATCTGCTTTGGAAAATACATGGATTTTTATACCAAATACACACATTTACTCCAGTAGGTACCAGCTTAGAATTGTACTGTACTGATTCCACACTTGTATATCCTTTCTAGAACTACAACGAAAATTTCTTATGAGAATGATCTGTCTACTTAATTTGGCATTTTTGGAGAACACTTGTTAAAAAAACAAAAAAAAGGCGAGAACAATAATATTACATATCTTGAAAGTAAATCAACCTATACAATAATTAAGTTCCTAGAAAAAAATAATTCCCAAGATTAAGGAGGTCAGTTGAAATTAAATATTATTTTATTTACAATACGGTTACCACAAAACTGCCAGACTTGATTTTCATTTCAGTACCTTTGGTACTCAGCTGTGCCAGTCATTCAGTGCTATCACAGCCAGGAATGGCTTCCAGAGAAACCCAGAGAATTCCGGTCCTTTAATCTGCCAACAATACAGCCGAGATTGCTTCTTAATGGGGAACTTCAATATCCTTTTATTCCTCTGAATCTTGTTCTGTTATCCAACTTTAAGGGAAAAAATAAATTTAAATAAAAACTATTTCTTATTATAGAAAACTTCCTATTACTATTTTTTTCATTTTAAGAAGTTTGTAAGAAAATGTTGCAATATTTAGCAAATAGTCTGGATTATATCTCCAGACTATCTTAAAACCTTTACCAGGTTTAAAATAATTTAGATTAAAAGTAAATTCAACATTAAAAAAGACAGAAAACCAACAAAAGCAACCTGTTCAGCAGTTATACAATAAGCACCTAAAGCTACTCAAATTCTTATCGCTTTTTTGAAAAGCCATGCATGTAGTTGTCTTCACATCCATACAGAATCCGTTGGGACTTCTACAGTAAAATTTTCTCAGGATTTTATTCTATAGAATTAGAACATAGCCTGACCTCAAATTCTTAATGAGTATGAGGGCTTATATAGGGAGCAACAGTGTTAAAAATATATTGGCCCAGATTGACAGGAGGTGAAAAATAAATATTACTATCTTGAATCAGTCTTGGAAGCTCAGAAATAAACAAATGCATTTTTTGAAGAACACACTTGATACATTCTTGTCTTTATATGGGATTTCTAAAACTACTGCTAATTCAGAGCGGCATAGCCTACATGTTACTTGATTAATAAGCAAACATAATAGTTACATTCTCAGCCACTATTTTTATGCTATAGATGTTGTTTTTAAATTTTGACTGTTTTATCTTGTATTTATTTTGTTTTAACTGTTAGCTGCCCAGAGTCATGTATATGAGATGGGCGGCCATATAAACTTATTAAATAAACAAACAAAAATCTAGACTGAAAAACCAAGAAGGGATGTGTGTACTGATGCTTGTATATACCCTACTGAAAGACAGACATATACAGTACTTAAGTACATCTTATTTTATACTAAAGGTTCACACATTATTGAATCTGAAGCAGCAACAGCCAAGCTAGAAGGCAAGCAGATTCCTATGATATATCATCTTAGGTTAAAGAGGACAATCCCATGTTTAAAAACTCACAAAAGTTTCCCTGCATGGATGTGGTAGGTTTGAACATTTAGGAAGTTTTTTTTCCAGATATTTAATATAATTGCCTAATTAGTTTGTGCACCTTTGAGATAGTGAGAGGGGGCCACTCAAGCAAAGTTTGTCCCCAGTTCCAGCTCAGAAGTTTGCAAACTCATCCCTCCATATAGACTTCAAAAGTGGGCTTCCTAAAAGGCTGCTGGAATGTGTCACTCTGCTTGAGAAGGTTGATTTCTACATCTGCCAGCTAAAGTAATGCAATCTGGCAACAGCTACATTGCATTGCCAACATTTGCCGGCTTGCAATTTCAGTTCTGATAAAGGATATAATCAACATACAGTACTTTCTGTTATCTGCTACCCTTAATCAATTCTCAAAATTAAAAACAGCACTTATGTCAGTCAATTATCTAAATGTAAAAATAGTAATACATGTGAAAAATACTTTTTAATACAAGCAGTCCCTGGGTTAAGAACAAGTTCTGTTCCTAACTCTATCTTTAACTCGAATTTGTTTGTAAGTCGGAACACGTACTTACAGACTGCCTATTACTAAAAATGGTGAATGGCGTTCTCCTTCCTCAAGCCGACAAACTGCTGAAGCCATACAACGCTTTCAGGAATCACTGAAAACAGGTTGTATATTAAAAATGCGTGGCTTCAGCGGTTCCTGAAAGCATTGCGCAGCTTCAACAGTTCGTTGGCTCAAGGAAGGAGAACGCTGTCTGCCATTTTTAGTAATAGGCAACCTGTTCATATCTAGGGGTTGTCCGTAAGTCGGACATTCTTAACCTGGGACTGCCTGTATTGTTCCTTGAACATATGATTGAGAAAACTCAAAGATTATATAGCCAATAGAATATACATAGCTCAGGGTTGAACTGTGAAGTCCTTGGTGCTCGCTGAGCTTGGTTGTTTCCTTGCAGGTTTCATTACCCAACTAGTGACATCATCAGTGTGAGTGTGGGGTTAGCTCCCTTTTTATTTACAGTAGTTTGCCCTGCCAATTTTGGTGGAGGTGTGGTTTTCTCCTTGGTAGCTCCTTGATTACGGTATTGTTTTCTGCCTGATTGTTTGTCTGGTATAATCCTTGCTTATCTGGGTGTTGGCTGCTGGAGGGGATGTATTCTGGTCTTTTTGTTTCCTTCTTAGCTTTTTTTATTCTCTTTTGAATGGTGTGTAAATATGGTTTATTTCCTTTTTCTGGTGTTCCGGGTTGCTACAGTGCATTTGTGCTTGTCTGAATAATGTTCTTATGCAACTCATCTTGTGGGAAGTTGGGCTGTTACTTTCGTAATGGAGCACTTCATTAGTGTAGAATGTTTTTCAATAGACTTGCATTTCTGATTTGCCATCGTTTCCTCTGCTGATGAGGATAGCCAGGAAGGGTAGTGTGTGGTGGTTTTCTTCTTGCCTTGTGAATTTTATTCCTTTGAAGATGTTGGTGACTAATTATATAGCCATCATATTTAATATTGTTTTGGATGTATTATTTTACTTCTATGATAGAAGAAAAAGCTTCTATACTTCTGTAGCAGTTATCAAACCATTATGAAGGAAGGCCTCTATTTTAGTACCTTGCATACTATAAATTTCACTTTAAAACATTTATATTTCCAACAATATTATAACATTTGAGCATGGGAAACCACCATAAATAGTAAAACTATATAATAATATAAAAGCAGTTATGATTGTGGGTTCTGCAGGGAATGGATTCTGTAATACCATTGCTGCTGTAGAAACAAGCTATGCAGTAAACATTAGGAGAATGCATCTACAGTGAGACCAACATTTTGAACAAGGACTCTTGATTAGTCATATTAGTTTCTTAACAAGCAATAGAGGTTTCTCATCCTTCTCTCCAAACACAGGAATGGGCTGAACTCCTAATGACTTCCACTGAGTTCTATGGAATAAAATTAGCAGGTTGCAATTTAGGACACAGGAAAAGTTCTTGAACAGATTATCACCTTTGTCTGATGGAACACACACATTTTATCTGCTCCCTGTAAGTCCATTCCACTTTGCAGTTCACAGAGAAAAGGCAGTGATTTATGTGAGACAAAATGGCATTTTTCTCAACTTCTCTGAGGGGTCCTCAGAACATGCAAGCTTAAGAGTCTATTAGGGTGGGGGCCAAGCAAGAGTTTGGGTTTTCTAGCTTTTTTTAAAAAATTTGCACTGGAAAATCCAGTTCACATCAGAATATTTCTGATGCCTTAGGAAACTATTTAATTTAGCATGCTTATTCTACTTGAATTTAATGCAATTTTAAAGAATACTAATGTTAATATTACAAGATATCACCCTCAAGGTATTTTTAGTCTACAGTGTTAAACTAAAAATATTTGAGGAAAGAAGTTAAAATACACCTACTGTGGTTTAAATAGTGAGAACAGTGTACAGACGATACGAACTCACCAATGATCTTCTGCATTCAAACATGGAAATTAGCAAACCTCTGCAATGTCCTTCCTTCAAGCACTGTCTGGGGCTTTTCCCTTCCTGTCACAAAAGATACCCATGTAAAGGACTCGATATATTCATTTAGGCATTACAGAAAATTTCTATTATACATAATCTTTCAAAACAATTTTTTCCAATATACTTATAAATAAAAGCAAAGAACCCAAAAAGTAAAACTTGCTAAAAAAACAAAAAAATCCTTCCATGAAGAACAAAAATGTCTTTGCACACCTTTGCTCAAGAGGGCTGTAGAAAGCCCAGATAAGAAGTTTTACAATGATGGAGCTAAAACCATGAAGACACTGCCCCAATACCTTCCAGCTTTGATGTTAACAAAGGACAGCTGGATTCATACTTCAAAAACGTTTCAAAGCTGGGCTCATTCATATGGGCAAATTCTTGCTACTCTATATGAGTCTAACAGTATATATTTTGCTGTACAATAAAATAATGTTAAAATTCTTTGCTTCCATTCAGCAACAGGCAACAAGTACACACAGAATCATACCATGCTCACTTACCTTGCTACACACCAGGCCCATTTAATGCTCTTTTAAAGATTTTTTTAACAAGAAAAATTATATAGGGCACTGGCATGATGCGAAGTAAAGTGCCACCTTTAGAGTCATATTTATTTCCAGCAATGTATTTGGCCCTCACAAAGGACCCACTGGGAACATGGAGAGCCTCTTGGGGCTGTGGGGGGTGCTGGGTTGTTCTCTTGTAAATGAATGTTTTGTGACTGGCCAATCACTGCAGCAACAATTTGTATTTTTGTTTGTATTCACAACATGCTCTACAATTCCAAAACTGCCCCTGCCCAGGAACACTGTTTACCTATGTTTACCCCAATTTGTCAAAACTGAGAGGACAGAAAAGACACTATTTTAGTAGACAGTCTTAGCTTCATATTCTCTTATGGTTTTATAAGTACAGTCTTCTCAAACAAGATCATTGTATACTTTTTTACTGTATGTAAAATGCATCTACATTTTAAAAATTGAAGGTCTCCAGCTGAAATAACTTGGTTACATTCATGTCAGAAATGTTGTTCAAACATTTACTGAGTTTAATATTTCTTCTCTTCACATGTGTAGCCTGACAGCCTTCTAATTTCACTAGTACAAGATACAGAAACATATTAACACTAGGACACTTACAAATTAGCTAGAGATTTAATCACTTTCCAACTAAAAGGAATTGTCCTCTGCAAAATAATTTGCCAGACTCTGTCTGGAACAAGCTTATTCACACTTAATTTAGAAAACTACCATCATTCCATATCTCAGAAGGGATTACACATGTTTGAATTTAAATTAAAAACAAAGGAGGGAGGAGACACCTTCAGGAAGAGCAGTATAAGGAAATAAGTACATTATATTATTAACTATATGATGGAAAGAAAATTAAAAAGCAATATATGTCAAAGACACAACTATTTCTATTCATATTTAAACCCTTTTCTTTCACAGATGTTTTTCTTCTCCCACATCTCACATGAATTTCTTAAAATAACCTGCAATAGTAAATGTGTTTAAGTATCAATCATTTAAAACTACTTTTCTTCTAATAATATACATTCAAATGTAGTCTCTACAAAGTTCAGGGTTTTGCTCAGAATTATATATTTGCATTACACTATGGTATAGATGCTATAATGGAAATGGATAATTCCAAATCCTATCTTCCTCCACGAGAAATACACATCCACTGATCACACATACTATGCTATGAAGAACTCTAACATCTTCATTATGGCAAAGTGTTCAAGAGCATACTGCAGAAGAAATAAAAGGTGACACCCCAGTTTGACTGCAAATCATGTACCTCCTTCTTATGCCAGGCAGAAGAAATGGTTTTAAAATGTGTAACCACATCAGAATTAAACAGAAAATACTTCCAGTTTTTGCTAATATGCGAACCCTACACATTAAAGGAGGGTTATTATTAAATCCTTGGAAATTATGCAGAAACTTGAGAGAATATCCTATTGATATCAGTCTTCCACAGGACTTATTTCCAAATATTTAAGTTTTCCTAAACCCTGTGAGTGATTCTCAGAAATAAAGCTCCCTTTGACAGGATTGCATGTGAAGAATGTCAGAACAAGGAATTCCAGGAGACTTTAAGAAAAAAATGACATTATTATTCAAGCTAGAAGGAATACTTTATTAGATCACAGTGTCACAGCATGTGGCAATCCTTAAATGACCTTCAATGAACTAGATGAAACTTAAGCAGGGTCAGATCTGGTTAGTGGTTGAATGGGAAGCAAACAAGGCTCTGGGGTAGCTTGGGAAGTCTAAAAGGGCGAAGGCATAAGCATAGGATTGTGACTTTGGGCCAGTCACTCTCTCTCAGCCCAATCCACCTCACAATGTTGTTGTAGTGGGGAAATAGGAAGCAGGAGTATTAGGTATATTTGCCGGCTTGAGATAGATAGAGGCGGGAAAAAATCATCATCATCTGCCTACCCCAGGTTCTTGGGAAGGACTCGATAGGTGGATAAAAATGCCAAATCCAGTCTAAACATTTGGGTGACTGTGCGATCAATCATCATCATCATCATCATCATCATCATCATCATCATCATCATCAAAAATAACTTTCAAATTGATAACTGGTGTGGTAGCTGATGCAATCCTACAGCATCTAAATGAAAACAAGCTCTTTCCATCTGAGCAGAAAGGAAACAATCCAAACAGCAGAGGAACAAAAGATCAGCTCCTAATTGACAAGATGAT